AGCTAGAGCCACCAGGAGGCCATGGCACAGTTCCAGGGCCTGATGAGCAGGAGGTGTTCAGGGGCAAGGTGTGCCCGAGTCCAGCGCCCACAGGAAGCCCCGTTCCAGCACTAGGATCCAGAGTGAGTCACTTCCCCTCTCTGACCCTGTCTTTAAAGGAGGGACCTCAGGACTCAGGCCTCCCCTGGCCGCTGCACGCCCTCCTGCCTCTGTTGCCTCTGCGCCCTCACCATCTCCTGGCCAGCAGAGACTCGTCCTGGGCTCTGACCGGGGTGGGGGTGGGGTGGGGAGAGACAGGCGAGGCCACAGGGACCACCAGTGGCCCGTGAGGCAGGATGAAGCTGCCCAGAACTGTGCTGAGCGATGGCTTGAGCCAGACCTGCTGGCTTAGTCCACCAAGGTCCCACAACGTGGCCTGCACCCTGGGGGCCTAAGGGCACCATAGCCTTCCCTTCCCTACAGCCCAGGGCCCGCGGTCCAGGCCCCCGCCAAGACGGCTTGCTCACCCTCCAAAGGCCCAGCCAGTCTGGCCAGAGGGAGAGCACAGCCCCTACCCTAGAGCCCCGGGCCACACCGCCCCTTCCAGGACCAGCTCCAAAACTAAACCCCATCCCACCCGGTGGGTGGCCTGCACAGAGGTCCTGTCCCCCTTGGGCCCTTGCCTGGTGTGTCCCCCACCCCCAACACAGGCCCTCAGATCCCGCCGGCTTCAGGACTGCCACCTGCCTCGCCACATCCCCCGCTTTGCCAAGAACCTGGTGGGGCTTCAACTGCAGAAGACAAAGACCTCTGTGCCCTCAGCACCCACACCCCCTCTACCTCATGCAGTTGGGGACCTGGGGACCTGCATTACCAGATGCTCCCCTGAGGACTGTGAGGCTGCAGTCACATGGCTGCTCCCTACCCACCCCCCAAGGCCACCAGAGCTCCTCCAACATGCAATGCCCTCTTGGCTCCCGACTGCCCTCAGGCTCAGGGAAAGAAAACCTCCCGCCTAGGTGACTGCCAGGGTTTAATTGCAACAGACTGCAAGGGTGACCACAGGGAAGTCACAGGGAGTGACCACCCCCTTCTCTGGGCAGAGGCTGAGCCCAGGGCGGTCTCTCCTCCCTGAGTTAATGAGCAGCTACTTGCCCACCCTGCCTGGTGGGAGGGCTGGCCTGAAGGCACAGAGCCCGGCTGCGGACAGCCCGGGGGGGGGTCGGTGGCTTCCCACAGAAATGGCTGGCCTGGCCCCTGGCACACAGAGAGGGACGGGATTGCGGAGGAGCTGGGCCTGTCAGCACCCCCATACAGGGAGCCCCCTGGCAGCCTGGCTCCAGGGCTGTGAGGAGCTTCTGGGAGGACCTGGAAAGCAGGCCTGTGTGCAGCCCCCCACCCAGCAGCTCTGTCCCCTGAAGGGACAACAGCCATTTGGCTCTGACCAGCCAGCTCCGGCCAGGGCACTCCAACCTGGCTCCGCACTGCAGGTCTCACCTGCGCCCTGGCTTCTCCACTGATGAACATGTGGCCAGGGTCACCACACCTTGCTTCCTGATCCTCACCTCTGACCTCTGGGGATCAGAGTCGTGCTGACCACCCCTGCCTGTGTGCCCCAACCAACACAACTGCAACTCCCCTCAGGACCCATGGGGTCCCCAGGGCCTCCCCTCTCAGTCTGTCTCTGCTCCTATCACACCCCCTCCTTTGGCCTCTGTTTTCCCCAGGCCCAGGCTGCCTGGGCAGCCCACTCTAGGCCCTCCTGGCTCTCACATCCCTAACTGCTGGTCAGCAAATCTGGAGTCCCTCCCACACCCGCTCCCACCCTCTCGGCCTCCCTGCCGTCCCCTCCTGGGGACCTGAGGGCCTCCTGCGTTTCACAGGTAAGGCTCAGAGAGGGCAGAGCCCTCGGGTCACACAGCCGGGCTCCAGCAGGCCTGGAGAGAAATGCAGGGCTCCTGTGTCAGTCGTACTTTAATTATGGAGGGGAGGGTGGTGGCAGGTATGGTTAACAAGGCTCTAGGGAGCAGCAGAGCCACAGGCTGGAGGTCCTGAGGAGCCAGGTGACTCAGCAGGAATGGAGGGTCAGAGGGGTTGACAAAGCACCAAATTCTCCCATCTCCCTGCACCTTCCAGAGCAACAGGCTCCAATGAATGAATGAACCGAGGGGATCCAGGCCTCTTCACAGTGGCCTGGGGCCAAGGCTGCCCAAGAACAGGGTCGACGGCACCCCCAATCTCACACACACACGCACACATGGGCACAGAGCTGCAGAGAGGGTAGGCCCCGGTGGGCCCTGGGGACACAGGCTCCAGTGGCTGTCTTGCCATCTCCCCTCCCAGCCCAGCCTGGATCCACACCAGGCCCTCCCTCCCCACAATTTGCTGGGGAGGCCCCAGGGCACCCAGAGTCCTAACTAGCCCCTCGGGTGCCGTGAGCACAACATGTTGGCAGGGGATACTGCCTTCCAGAGAGGCCCACAGCACACTGCCCACGGCTCTGTGATGGGCACGGGCGGCAGTGCGTGTGGCAAGGCACCAGGGTGAGAATGAATGGGGTGCAGTGGTAAGGTGGGAGGGACAGGAAAGCCAGCAGGGATGGCCGTGAGGGCCTTGAATGCCAGGCAAAGGAGGTGCACAGCTGGCCAGGGGTGGGGTGGCCCCACCCGGGACTCTCAGCCCCAGATTCATTCACCCAAGGACTTCATCCAACATCCAACCCGCTCAGCACCACTGGGCCCGTACTCGGGATCCTACTGTGGATGGAGGTGGACAGAGAACAGAGCCATTTAATCATGATTGCGAGGGTGCTGTGGGGGAGGGGCCTGAGTTCCCTGGTAGGGCGTGAGATGGTCAAGGAAGGCTGCCCTGGAGAAGTGGGATGAGTGGGAGCAGCCAGGCGAGGGGGGAGCAGGGGGCACATTCCAGGCCAGACAAACAGCCTAGGCAAAGGCTTAGGGGGTGAAGACGGTCACTGGGTTAGAGGAGGAAGAGGACAGGGCCAGTGCACAGACAGCAGTGAGGGATGGGCTGGACCTCCAGCAGCCTCCTGAAGGCAGGGGTCCAGCAGAGAGCAATGGGGATCTTGAATTCAGGAGCAGAAGTGCATGTTGTGTGTGGGCTGTAGGGGAGCAGTGCAGAGATAGCAGCCTGGACTGTGGTATGGGAGGAGGTGGTCCCAGCCAGTGAGGAGGGCTTCAGGCCGTGACCACACCTGCCGTCCCGTGACTGTGATGGGGACTGTGGCTTTGAGCAGAGTATGTGAGCTCGGTTCCCCATTTGGGGTTGAGCGCTTCCACGTCCCCATCACCTCTGCCCAGAAGCCTGTTCAAGCCCCTTGTTGGGACCCACTGACAGCGCAGCACCACGGGGAAGTCCTGCACACTCAAGCCTTTGGCGTCGTTCCCCCGGTTCCTCGGGGCCCCATTCGCCCAGGTTTCAGCCCTGCGGGGGTTCCGCGGGCCCCTGGCCAGATTCCCTGAGGCTTTGGTCGTTCCCACAGCCGTCCCGGAGGCCCTCTCCACGAAGCGTCTCCCGGGCCCCATTGATCGCTAGGCTACGGGCTGGGGCTCCGGCCCGGCCGGGCTCTGGAGGCGGCGGTGGAGGCAGCGGCGGCGCGGACGGCGGCAGAGCCCCGGCGCCCGTGGGCCCAGGTGCGCAGCGCGTACGGTGCCAGCGAGGCGTTGCGGCGCGCGGTGGGCCGCCGGCCGGACCCCGGGCCGCAGCCCCACAGGCCGAGCCCCAACGAAGCCCGCGCCCCAGGCCGCCTGGCGCGCCGGCGGTGCCAGTTCCGGGCTGAGGCGGCGGCGCGGGCCGACGCGCCCCGACTGCCACGGCTGGTGGACCGCGCGGGGGCCGCGGAGCCCGAGAAGGCGCGCAGCCGCGGCTCCGTGTGCTCCGTGTGCGGGGAGCCGCGCGGCGGGGCCACCTACCCGGCGGGCGTCCTGGAGGTGAGCGAGCGGCAGCTGCAGGAGGGCCTGGCGGCCGTGCGCGCCGAGCTGGGCGCGGGGCTTGAGGCGCTGCGCGCGGAGCTGCGGGCCGAGCTGGACGCCCTGCGCGCGCTGCTGCCGCCTCCGCCGCCCGCCCCCCGCGAGCCCCGCGGCCTCCGCGGCCTGGCCCTGCTGCGGGCGCTGGGCACCGTGAACGCCCTGGCCGCGGGCGCGAGGCCCACCGACAACGCCTCGGACAGCCCGGCCGACGGCGGCGCTAGCCGGGCCCCGGCCCGGAAGAACCTCAAGAATACGCCGCCGGGGCCCCACAGGGCAGCGGGGATTAAGCACAGGGGGAGGGAGCCCGGGGCGAGGGCCTGGCGCGCCGCCGCCGGCCGCGGGGCTTTGCTACCTGGGACCGGCCAGGTGGCTCCTGGAGCGGGGCTTGGAGCGAGAAGGGTCCTCCGACGCCGCTGGCTAGCGCTGTGGTATCGGAAGGGGCTGGGGAGTACGGCTGGCTCCGCGCAGCTGGAGCCGGAGTCCCGGCGGGGTAAGGCTCGGGCCAGGGGTATGTCAGCTTCCGGGAGTGAGCGCAGCGGGAGAGCCCAAGGTCTCCTCTGTCTGGGGGAGGTGGTTGCAAGTGTATTTTCTTGAAGGGTCTCAAGGGAGGAGGTCGGACCTTCATGCACTGGGGTGGAGAGTGTGACCCACACACCAAGTGACAGACACCGGGGACACGTGGGCTGCTGGGACACTGTCACCTGGACACAGGTTCACTCAGGACAGTGTCACTTGGATGTAAGAGCACATTCTACCGTGGGCCCTGGACAGCAGCCTAACTCTAGCCAGCTTCACTCCCCTGACAGTCGGGCCCACCCTCTACTGGACAGCGTTGCCTGGACAGAGCGCATCTGGTCAGTGCCCCCTGGACTCTCAGCTTTGCTTTGACAGTGACACGAAAGCCACTTACCTTAAGTAGCGTCACGGCAGGCAGTCACCCGACAGCAGTGTCTCTCCAGTGTCAACCTACATCAGACTCCACAGCCCATCTTCCCGGAGTGTTGCCTGGGTCGGGTCTCACCTGTTACAGACAGCCCTTCACTCACTGTCCCTGTCACCAGGACCCACCACTCTGTGCTGCAGAGCTGGGATCCAGCAGCTTCTCGCCTCCTGGCCTCTGGGAAATGGCAGCTAGAGGCATCACTAAACCACACAGTGTCTGGGGTGGTCAGCCAGCTCGTTTGTAAAATAAAATAGTAATTTTAGGCTTTAGCAGGTGGAGTTTCTCCACCTCATCGGGGGATTCAGGCATAACGTGTAGGATGGGAGTGGGGGTGCCTTCTCCCCGAGAGGGATCTGGGGAGGTCTGGGGTTCTGGATGGGGTCTGGGACTGGCTGTGGTGGGGTCGGGAAGGGTGGCACAGGAGGCCTCCGTAGGAGCTGCGGTGCGCCCAGGCCGCCCCCCCTCCCCCCAGCCATAGGAGGCCAAGGTCACTCTGTGAGTCGTTTATTGTGGGAAGGTGGTCGTGTCTACATCCTAGGGCCCCTGCCAGAGCCACAGGCTGAGCCCCAGGCCCAGGAGAGCCCCGTGCCTCGGGCCGGGTTGGGGGCTGCCGCGCGGACCGAGGCGCTGGGGGAAGCTACAACCCTGCGTACACCGAGAGGCTGCTGCGGCCGTAAGTTCTCCATGAGAGGTGCGGGGCGGGAGCCGGGGGGCCCTGGCCTGGGCCACGATCCGGAACTGGGCCACCTGAGGGTGTGGGGCGGAGGCGGTCAAGGCGCGGCGCACGGGAGGGCAGGGCGGCTGGGGGTGGGGGGGCGCGGGCTGTACCTGAGCGCGCCCGATGGGAACCGTGTCCTCGAAGACTGTCCAGAGCACCACGGGCTCGTAGCACCGCGTGGTCAGCGACCCCGCGTAGCGGTAGAAGCGCGAGAGGCCAGAGGCGCCCAGCAGCAGCGAGGCCAGCGGGAAGGTGGACGCCAGGTTCACGGAGGCCCCTGGGAGAGACGGCGGCGGGTTGGAACCAATCTCCCGGTGTCCAGCCGCCCCGCCCCCGCCGCGGGGAACCGCGTCCCTCACCGCGCGCGGACACGTTCTTCAGGCACGACAGACGGCTGAGCGTTGTCAGAATCCTGATCCTGGGAACGGGGCTCCAAGTGAGAGGGGCTCGAGCGGGGGTCTTAAAAGGGGGGAACACTGAGGGGGGTGTAGGGTAGACTAAGTGGGAAGAGAGGTGAAGGGGGTTTGCTGGGGGGAGGGCCACCCCCACTGACCCTGCAGGTCCACGACTTCTCACTGGCCACACCCCCTCACAGAACCCGTTCATCCTATAAAGCCTCTAGGGGCCCCAATGCCCACCCAAGATTACACAGGCCACCTGTCCCCTCTACAGACCCCCATGGACCCCCTTTCTTGAAAGCAGGCTGTCACATAGCAGCCCCCCTCGCTGCAGGAGGCACACGGCCCCTCCCTCACCGTCAAGAGCAGGGCCAGCACTGCCAGACCATCAGGGTGACCTCGGGCTTCCCCTATGCTCTGGTACCGGGTGTTCATATGGACCACGTGCATCTGGGGAGACACAGACTACGGGAGGTACCCAGCTACTCCCACCAGGCTGCCCTGGCCTCCATGGGGCACTCCCACCACCCCTCCCCATGACCAGGCCCACTTCCATGGGGCGGTGCTGCCCATCCAGGCTGTGCTCTGAGCCTGCTCGCCCGGGGACCCCGCCAGTGGAACTGCAGCTGCAGGGCACGCTAGGCTGGTGGTGGCAGCCTGGCGCCCTGCATCTCCAGCAGGCCCTGCGGGCCAGTGTCCATGCGGAGCACTGAGGGGGAGGGAACAAATGACACCCTCTCTTTCCCCCACTCAGCTGCCCTCGTGCCATTAGGGCACAAGGTGCGAGCAAAGGTACCCCCTCAGGCCAGTCTGCGCCCTGGCTGGGCCTCTTTGGAACTATGACACCCTGTGTGTCCAGGCCCCTCTGCTGGCCGGCCAAGTGGGGCTCCACAGACTGCAGTGGAAACCCCTGACCCTGCACGGAGGGGAGAAGGCAGCCTCCCGTGGCGGGGGTCCTGATCCACCTCAGCTATGGGATTGTTGGGGGTTGACTCCAGGAGTCCTGACCTCTGGGTACGCCCTGACTTCTGGGCCTCAGGGACAATGGCTGATTGCTACTGGTAGGGGGTTCCTGGCACCTCTATGTGGGGGTTCCAGACCTCCATTGGGGGATGTCTTGACCACTGTGTGTGGAGCTTCCTGTGCCATTTATGGAGATTTTGATTCCTGTGGGGGCGTTCCCATCCTTACGTAGAAGCTCTTAATCCATCTGTAGGGGTTCCTGACCCTTGTGGGGGGGGGGTCCTTGGTCTCTGTAGGGTGTCTCATCTCCTGTGTGGGGATCCTAATCCTTGTGCAGGGGGTTGCTGTCCCTGTCTGTGGGAGGGGGAGCCTGACCCAGGGTGCTGACCTGTATGACCATGATTCTCCAGCGTCCACGGGCCTGGAGGTGCTGAGTCATAGCCTTGGAAGATGAAGGGTCCAAGGGTAGGGTCCCGCTGGACCCGGTGAAGGTCGATGTTTATGGGGGACTGCTGGGCCCCCACAGGTTGGGGCCATCTCCCTCCAGTGGGTGGGGCCTGGGGGAACAGGTCTAGGTCTCTTGGGGGGCTGAGACATGGGGGTGCACAAAGGTGGCCCTCCCCCACACACACACCCAGGGAAGAGTACCCACCTGACAGGTCACAACTGCCACCCCCCCAACCCTGGCTGGACATAGGGTTTGCAACACCATCACAGGTACAGCCCCTGCAGGCAGCTGCTCCACAGGAAAGGGGCCTGGGAAAGTCTCCCGGCACCCGGCCACATGCCAACTTTGGGGACCTCCACGACCTGCTCACATGTGGGCTGGCCACATGGCACACTTATGGGTCCCGCCTGATGTGAGCAGCTTGGCACACACAGAAGGACTGGAGAGCACAGCAGCCACAGATCCGGACACACACAGAGGGGGACAGTCATACACACACTGTGGGGTCCCAATCGCTGCGACCCAGGACTACAGACAGAAAACCCGCAGAGACCACAGAAGTGCAGTGGACACAGGACACAGACCAATGCGACACAGCCTCACACAACACTCTGTCCTCGCCACAATTTGGGTCCTGGGAGTCGTAGCACCAGGCACCTGCAGACGGTGGGAGGGGACTGGGCTGACGCAGGCCATCTGGGCCCTGAGCGCCATCCCAGCCAGGGTCCAAGGGTGGGAGCACAGGGCTTTGGCCAGTGGATGCCAAGCAGACCCTATTCTCCTGTCACCCCAATTCCAACCTCTCCTCCCCAAAAGTCGCACCCCCCCACTAGGGGCAGGGCCTAAAGCGGAGAAGAGGGAGCGTTCAGGGAGGATAAGGCAGAGCAGAAAGACAGGGTCCTGCGTTCACCCTCGAGTCGGCGCGCACCACCAGCGGCACGGCGAGGAAGGTGAGCACCAAGCCCAGGGACCGCATGGTGCAGCAGTAAGTGGAAACCAGCGAGGGCGGCGAATTTACCAGCGGGGTGAGTTAGGGGCGTGGCTGAGTCCTGGGGGCTCCAGGCGCGGGGAGGGTCGGAGGGGCGGCGCCTCCAGTGGGGAGACAGCTGGAGCTCGCCAGGCACTCGCTCTGATCCCGGGGCAGGGACGGCTGCCAGCAACAAACGCCGGCGTCGACCCAAGCTGCACGCTTTCACGGACCCCCCCACACCCCAACTATTCCTGGGTGGGGGGATGCTATTATTATGTCCATTTACAGACGAGGAAATGGAGTCTGGAGACCATAAGTGACATGACAAGGCCACCAGAAAGGACGAAGTTCGAGGGAAATGGCACCTTGGATTCCAGTGCCTTGACCTGGGGGCCTGGGGTGGGGAGGACGCCCCAAGACCACAGCCTCTTTCCTACCAGCGCACCCCTGCGGACCAAAGGGTATGGGAAGCCACTGCTTCCTCCGCTCCGCCCCGGCTTCCGCAGCAGTTTCGGAGGTCCCGGCGCCCAGCGGACCCCAGGCTGTGGCCCGAGCCCCAATCGCTCTCTTGGAAAGCGGGGTTCCGATTTCCCCGCCCCGCGAGTGGCCAGGAGAGACGACGACGCACCGGAATGCGCTCGGCGGACGCGCCTTCCCAAGCGCGAGGGCCGCGCCCCAACCTCCCGCCCCCCACCAAGGCGCTGTCCGCGGTGCTGCCCGGACCGCCCGCCGCCCCGCAGGCGTTCAGGCCCGAGGGCCGCCTCCCCAAGCCCCCAGGGGCCGCACCAGTGCCTTTCCTAAACCAACCCCTTGCCCGCCCAGCGCGAGGACCCACCCGAGGCTGAGTCCCCTGGGCGCCCTCTTTCCTCACATCAGGAACTGAGAAATTATTGAAAAGACCACGACCAGAGAACGGAAGGGATAGGTGTCTCAGAACCCCACGCCTGCCCTGGCTTCCAGAGGTGGCCCAACTCCTCCACACAGCTACCTCTGCACCTGTCCCTCGGCCCCAACTTGGCTGGAGCCTCCTGCTCCAGCTGGGGCCGCACCGAGGATGGACCACAGTTCTTCCAGAACACAAATTTATTTGGCATTCGGATGAAACGGTTCTCACAGCATCTTAAGAATTAGTGCCAACCCAACCAAAATAAACCCAAACTAAAAACCCTTAGTGAAAGGAAAACATAAACAGGCCTTGAGACAATGGCCTATAGACACCCACCCCCACCAAGCAGGTCAGCAGCTCTCACAGGAGCACAAGACTCTCAGCCAGGGCTGGTTGGGATTCATCTGACCACGGAGCACAACCAGATCTCATGACGGTTGGCCTAGGCAGAAGGCCGACCCCACCTCTCCCCTTGCTCCCCCACCCCCACCCCCAGTGGAGCTCAGCCCCTGGGGCACTAGCTCCTGGGGACACTGCGGGCAGCAGGCAAGGCCTGAAACAGTGCTGCACGTGGGCTGAGCAACCCCGGAGCCCTGGCCTGTCCAGAAGCAGGCCCCCATCTGTGGCCCCCACAGCCTGCTCCGGGCCACCCCCTTAGTGACTCCCACATGCCCGACTGGCCCAGCAGTCCTTCAGTCCCCAATCCCACACATCTAGTGCCAGACGCCCTGCCCTGTACACACGGGTCTGAGGCCTGGGCCAGAGACACGGGGGTTGGGAGGGACCCTGAGCTGTTGGGGGCAGGATCCTCTGGGGCTCCATGGGGGAGCCCACTCCAAAGCAGGAGTGCTCAGGACCCTCACCTAGCACCAACAAGGCCTGTGACAGCTGCTCAGTGCCCAGAACACAGTGGAGGCAGGACACGCGTTCTGCTTTGTCTTCAGCAGCCAGTGCAGCCACTCTCCAGTCCCAGTCCTTGGCAGGGGGAGTGCAGGCCTGCTCGGCATGCAGCCTGCCCGCGTGGGGCTGCCTGCAGCACTCTGGCTCCTGTGGGCCGAGCCCTGGTCTGTGGGCAACTTGAGAAGCTCATGCTGCCCAGGGAAGAACAAAACGGTCCCCAACGGGAGACTGTGAGAACGTGTCCAGAAATAGACTGTGCCAGCGAGGCCTGTCACCACAGAGCACCCACTTCAAGTCATCCCCCGCTCACTGCTGGTCTGGGAGGGCACGAGGGGCCAGGGAAGGGCTCCCTGCTCTCAGCTGAGGGCCACGCCTTGGGGCCGCCCAGCACGCCATGGCTGGCCCTGGAAAGGGGGGCCCCAGGCCTGAGTCCCCGTGTACCGCCACCACCTGCAAACACTTAGACACATACACACACATACGCACACAGATACACATGCACACAACAAAGAAAAGATCCAGACATTCAACGTAGAAAAGATATGAATGTGCTAAAAATCGCACAAAACCCGCTTAACCTCCAAACCTCAGAAATGCTAAAAACCCTATGTCAGGAGACAAGACCACTGCCCAGAAACAGGCAACAGTGACCCTCAGTCAAAGGCCCCCCAGGGTAGGACACCCAGCACCTTGCTGCTGGGGACAGGAAGGTGGCCTGCGGCCACTGGGCACATAGCTCCAGTGGTGGCGGTGGTGGGCAGGAAGTGGACTTCTGGGAGATGGACAGCCCAGGATGTGAATTTCAGCCATCCCTCCCCCCAAAGACACAACCCTTATGGCACAAACAAGGTGGGGTGGGGGCAGGCCAGGTCCAGGGGCAAATTCAGCAGGAGTGGGGGCTCCAGAGGGCAGGAGCCAGGAGCCAGCCCCAGTGGAGGATCCAGGGCCAGGACACTCATGAGTGACTAAAGGCCCCAGCCCGACCCCAGAGCTGCCCAGGGCGGGTCACGCATTGTGGTGCCGGGGAGAGAATGGTTGGGGTGGGGCCCAGGCCTCCTGGTGTGCAACTGAGCTTCACGGAGCCCAGCTGGAAAGACAGTACAGAGTCCAGCCTCCTTCCCAGCTGCCCTCCTCAGGGCCTTGGGCACCTTGGGCACCAGGCCAGCCCCCACAGCTGGATGTTCACAACTGGACCTGGGGGACCACCCCCAGAGCAGCCCTTGCGGCAACCTCCAAGGCCATCTGCCCCGACTGCACTGACAGTCCTCAGACACCCGCTACCCGGGCGCGCCTTCTTGAGCCGCGGCTAGCTAGGCGTGCGCGGCAGCCTGGGCTCCTCTGGAGGGCGAGTGGCAGCAAGCAAGTCCATCAGAGCTGGAGTGTCCAGCCCCACTAGAGCGTATGGTGCCTCCTTTGTTCCCTGCTCCTGACACGTGTGGTCTCACCAACTCTGTCATCCTTCTGCCGTTTAAAAAGAAAAAGACAGTGACCCAAAGCTACGCGTGTGTTTGAAGCCCCCAAAGACCCTCGGGCAGGTGCTGGCACCCTGGGGGCTGGCGTGGTGTCTGTGTGCCCGCCGTCAGGGGTGTGGCTGTGCAGCTGGGTCCAGGCTCACTCAGGGGCCCCTCAAGTCTCCCAAGGGGATCAGCGTTTTTCTCGACGGCAAACAGGTGCTCCCCTGCCCATTTGGACCTCGGGCCCGCCGTCCTCTACACCACAGTATTGAGGGAACTTCGGCTGTGGCGGCCGCCCCCCGGCAGCGCCTCTGTGGCCAGGGCACTGCCACTCTGGGCGGGGTCAGGGGGCACGAGGAGGACACTGCTGCTGTCGGCTGAGTCTTCCAGTTCGGCCAGAGAGGCCCTGGGGGTGGGCAGGGGCTGCTCCAGGCGCCGGGGCGCTGCACCCTCACCACCACCGTCCCCTGTGGCCAGCTGGGCGGCCTCCGCTGGCTCAAAGGCGTCATCATCTGTGGGAGGAGATGGAGGTCAGCGGGGGGGTCCTGGCTCGGGGTAGCTCCTCCTGCTTGCCTGCTCCCACCAACACCGCCGGGCAGGCGAAAGCCTGCCCCACGGGGCTCCACCGTGCTCACCCCGCACCTTCGCCATGCAAGTGGGCTGTGTGGGGCTGGAGCAGGGGTACAGCCATGAGCAAAGCATGATGTGTGCGTAGGGGACACGCTTTGACTGAGTCAGCAGATCAAAGGGAGGGGAGGGGGAAACCCTCTCAGACTCTGGGGGTCCAGGCAGGGCTCACATGCATTAGACATGGGCTGGAACACGGGGGCAAGTGCGGGAGATGGACCAGAGCAGGCAGCCCGGCCAATTGTCTGGGGGTCTGCAGAACACCCTGGTCTGAGGGAGACTTGGTGGCAGCCCCTCCTTATTCCTGCAGGTGCTCTCTGAAAGCTCGGGGCTCAGGGACCCAGCACCGCCGCTCCCCTGGCCGACACCCCCAGCCCAGCAGTCCTGCCATCCTGCCCCGGGGAGCATTTGCTCCCCTGCAGCCTGGTCTACGGAGGCATCTGGGACTCGCACTCCCAGAAGCATCCGTCCTCCTACCCACCCTGGCCCCCTGGACAGCATATTGTGACAATCAGTGTCTCAAGGACAGAGGTCAAATCCAAGGCTTTCCTGCCGGTGCAGACCACAAAGGACGGGACTGACAGTAACAGACCAAGAACACAGCAGTGCCAGCCTTGCAAAGCCCAGCCTGCTGTGTTACGTGTGCATGTGTGTGTAACACACAGGGAATCGGGATGGGACACCTGCGTGCACACCAGGGACAGGGACAGGTCAGGCCATGGGCAGGACACCTGCTGTTCTTTCTGCTTCACCTGTGAGGAATGATTTTCCATAGTATCAGATGAACAACAGACTCAAGTGGCCGCTGGACAGGAGGGCATGCCGAGGGGCTGTCTCCTCAGCTCACCACATGTGCCCCATGCCTGACAGCCCAGCGTCCGGGCACCCCACTCCCCACAGGGCCCTGCTGAGGGGGCCCCAAGGGGTGCTCACTAACAGGAGTTCCCGGGAGGGAGGCAGGGGCAGGGAGACCACTGCCAGTGGCCATCTGCGACCCTGGGAAGAGTGTGCCCACCCCAGACGGTGGGACCATCTTAAAGGGAAAACCAAAGCAAAAGCAGAAGGCCGGGCAGAAGTTGGGGGGCCACAGGGCCTTGGCCCGCATGCCAGCTGGTTGTGACCCATGGCTCCCTTGCCCTGGGGGTCACCTGCAGGGTCGTAGAACATGCTGTCTGGGTTGATGGAGGCCTCGTACGGTGGCGGCGGGTCATCGGGTTGGTCGATGTCCGGGTACTTGTACGCAGTGTAGGGAGGCGGAGGGTCATGGAAATGGAAAGTACCGCCTTCCCCATCGTCGGAGAGGTGCAGCGGTGTGAGGCCTGTGCCGAACCCATCTGGGCCATAATCAAAGCCAGGGATCCTTCGGCCGAGGTTGAAGTGGTGCACTGGGCGGTCGGAGAGAGAAACAAGCCCGGAGCCATCACTCCTGGGCTGGACCTGCCACGTCCAGGCCCAGGGCACCCCGCACTCCGACAGTCACACGCCTGTGCCCGGCTGCTACCTGCCATCCACACTGGGAGCCCCACCCACCCACCCACCAGCTCCGGCCCACAGAACCCGGGCTCTCAGCGCATCTGGGCGTGACCCGCGACGGCCTCGGCATGCTGCCCACCCTGCAGCTCCATCTCCAGGAGGGCTCACCGTGATGCGGGGCCTTCAGACCTGACACGTGTGCCCTCGGAGGCCCTGGGGCCCTAACACAGCAGCTGTGGTCCCTTGTCACCATGATCCTCAGCCCCCCTCCCCACAGGGACTAGGAAGCCTCCTGGCTTGCTCACTGAGATGAGGGGGAATCTCAGAAACTCTACGCAGGCACAAGCTGTGGCAGAGAACGTGGGCTGAGGAGGGTGGACCATGCTCCCTAAGCTGCCACCAGTCATGGGTGTCCAACGTCTTTAGCGGGCAGGCTGCCCCGGCAGGTGCCCACACACCCTGGGGGGCCAGGGCCGGCGCCCCTCCCACCACACTCGTGTGGCTCAGCCTGGGAGTGGGAGCAGGAGCAGGCAGGGTACAGCTGCTGGGCAGCCCTGTCTTCCTCCTCCCTGTCCTGGGACCGCCGCCGAGCCACTGTGGGCGGCAGGGCTGGGCACTCACGG